AAGGTCTGATCAGGACTGTTGCACTGTCCTCCTCTGTGGTCTGGCAAGGCTACTCCCCATTCAGGGGGAGGTGATCAAAGAGCCAGCCACTGAGTTCATGTCAGAGACAGTTCCTGTTCCCCTTACTAGGAAACCCACTTGAATACTGAGCTGACATGGGCTACATCTGAGCAAGGGTTCTAGATAATATCCATAAATGGTCCTTGGTTGTAGTACCAGTCTCAGAAAAGACCCCTGTGCCCAGATTTTTTGTTTCTGTTGCTCTCCTTGTAGAGCTCCTGTCCTCTCCAGATCTTACTGTCTCCCCCTTCTTTCCTAAGATTCAGTGCAGTCTGCCAAAAGTTTGGTTATGAGTCTCAGCATCTGCTCTGATACACTGCTGGGTAGAGTCTTTTAAGGACTCTCTGTACTAGGCTCCTGTCCTGTTTCCTGTTTTCTCCTTCTTCCAAAGTCCATCCCGTTTGTCTTTCTGAGTGAAGATTGATCATCTTACCCAGGGTCCTCCTTCTTGTTTAGCTTCTTTAAGTGTACAGATTTTAGTATGTTTATTCTATATTATATGTCTAATATCCACTTATAAGTGAGTATATATCATGTGTGTCTTTCTGATTCTGGGATACCTCACTCAGGATGTTCTTTTCCAGTTCCCACCATTTGCCTGCAAATTTCATGATTTCCATGTTTTTAATTGTTGAGTAGCATTCCATTGTGAATATGTATCAATTGGTATTTTTTAAAGGATGCATATTACTTTTGTTATTGATGTTGTTTATTGAAAACTGGGACTTGTGCATCTGTTTTAAGAATTTTCTGATCTACCTTCAGGGTATCTATTTGGAGCTATGTTTTTGGTACCTTAGCTTAGTAGGTTTTGATTCTGTTAGGTGATTTTTTTGGGATCAGTCATGGGGATGGTGAGAGCTGGTTGTGGGTGAGGTATTCTTGACTAGGCTGGCTGATTCATGTTCATAAGTCACGTGAGTCACACTAGGATCCATAAGCTGAGTGAGAGAGGTCTGGGGTTACAGTCTCTGAGCTCAGACAGGTGTCTGAGTATATGAGTCTTCCAGGTTGTGTCAGGTGCCTTTTGATAAATGAGAACCTGGGATATTCCACTGTTTCCAATGCATTAGGTTTCCCTGCCACCCTTCAACGTCCCCTCAATTCTAGCTGTCTTTTCCTGCATGGTCTCCCTCAAGTACATCTTCCCTTGATGTGGTCCTCCTATTCCCACAACACTCCACACTTCCAGCCCACATGTAAAATCTGTCCTATTTCCCATCCCAAGAAGATCCATGTCTTCCCCCTAGTCTCTTCCTCTATACCTAACCTCCCTGTCCATATGGATTGTAGCTAATATTCACATATAAGAAAATACATACCCCAGTTATCTTTCTGGGTCTTGGTTACTTTACTCAGATGATTTTTTTTTGTTTCCATTCATTTGCTCGAAAATTTCCTGATGCTTTTTTAAACAGTTGAGTAACACTTTATTTTATAAATGCATTACATTTTCTTTATCAGTTCTTCTATTGAGGGACTACGTGGTTTCCAATTTTTATTATGAATTTATAAATTCAGTGGATATGGTTGAACAGTGTCCTTGTGGTAGGATGAAGCATCCTTTGGGTATATGCCCAGGAACAGCACAGCTGGGTATTGAGGTGGATCTAGTTCTTTCTGTCTGAGCAACCACCATGCTGATTTCCATAGTGGCTGTCAAGTTTACACTCTTACCAGCAATGCAACCCTAATTTAGAAAGGTAGTTAGATGATTTTAAGTTACGTATACTGCTCTGTGATGGCAGAGATTTACTAGTGAATGAAATGTGGATCCAACCCATTAGCCAACAGTCAAATTAGTAAATTATATAAAATCTCTTTAGCTATCTGATGTAATTGCTAAAAGAGGATGGATTTTTTTTCTAGACAGCTTGACAAAAAATGACTTCATTACTCTGTGTCAACTGAAAAAACAAGACAAATTTGTAGAACGTTTTTATGGTAAAATCTCATAATGTCTGTATTTGTAGCAAAATACAATGAAGAAAGAATCCAGTATCTGAATGTGTGATTGTGTTTGTGTAATATATTAAAACAAAATTCTGTATAATATAGGACGTCTTCTTTAAAGTAATTAAGAGCTAAAAGAAATGCATACCCCTAAGGCAGCGCAAGGATAGGTTGTTGTGGCTCTGATCTCATATCATGGAGCAAATGTCAATTTTGAAACTGTAAAATGAAAACAAGGACAAGGCATAATCCTAATTTTGAAGACATCAATGTAATGCATTTTTGGTTCTTTATGCTGCTCTGCACTGGCAGAATTTACTAATTAGTAACACATCAGTAAGACTGTTGAAGAGGAGCTCATCGGAGGGCAGTTTAGTCCTGGGTTTAACTAATCCCAAATGAGTTGAGAATAAATTATCTCCTAAGCATAGACTGAGTCCATGCACTTATTAGGAAAATTGCTTGACCAAAAGGGAGCCAGGTTGGATGTTATCAGTCGATTGGTACACTTTTTTCTCTGCCTCTCTATATTTGGTTTTCAAGAAAGATGGGGGTGGGGGGGAGAAGATGGGTTACAACACACTGTGTACAGGTTTTGAACTTTGTTTGCATCCTTCTTGTCTTTAGTTGAGTGTAACAGGAATAAACACATTGGCCAGAGAAGGTAAAGTTGTAGTTATGTTTGTGCAGTTTTCCATTTTATTTTATACAGTTCCCTTGGAAATGTTTTATTTTTTAGTGTCTTAAAACAGTTGTTTTACTGTTTTGTTGTTTCACTTTCTTAAAGAATTCCAAGAATGATTATAATGTTTTATAGCACAATTAGTTTTTGTGAAATGATAAGAGAGATTAAAGATACATTTATTTTCATTTTTAAGTGAGGTTGTTACAACCTTACAAGCAATTCAGCATGTACTTTTTATTTTGGAGAAGGTTGAGTTTATTTTGGTTCACAAATACAGAAGGCTCATCCTGTCACTGAGTGGAATGCGGTATGGAAACCAAGCTATTACCATGATAGATCAGCAAACAGTAATGAGGATTCCTTCATTGGCTTCTTCTCTCCAGCTCTCATTCCATCTGGTTTCCAGTCCATGTGAATCACAGCATGTATTTTTAACATGAAAAGCAATATACAGAGTCAAGAGTGACCTGAATGATGAAAGCATCTTCTGAATTATGAATATTTTGAGTTTTGTGTTTTAAGTGGCAGAATTTAAGTTGTGGCTGACAACTTTAGGGTTTTATATCTAAGTAGTATTATCATATATACCAAACTATGTGGTTTGTATTTGTGAACAAATGCATTTTCCCCATAATTGAATGGTTACCCTACTGAAAGAATGCAAGAATCCCCAAATTATCACTTAAATATATTTATTACTGTTAATTTTACATTTTAATATATTTTAACTATCATGTAAACCACGTAAGAGTTACCTGTCAGTTTCGATGGCATATTGACGAAAAAGATTCATATTTATAAGGAGAAAAATCCTGAGGCTCAGAAGACTAAAATAGGAAAAGGTGACTAATGCCTATTATTACCCATTTTACTTATCACTTGCCTAACTGCCCAGCATAGAAAAAGGACAACAGATTTGATCACAACTTACATCACAGGCTCTGTGCTGTCAGTTACATATCAGGAGAGAATAGGACTGATAGAAGTCAGATAGTAATGGGAAGAGGGACTGCCTCTGACATAATCTGATTGGCCTGCTCGTTGATCACTTCCCCCTGAGGGGGGAGCAGCCTTACCAGGCCACAGTAGAGGACAATGCAGCCACTTTTGATGAGAACTGATAGACTAAGATCAGAAAGAAGGAGAGGAGGACCTCCCCTATCAGTGGACTTGGGGAGTGGCATGCATGCAGAAAGGGGAGGGAGGGTGGGATCGGCAGGGGAGGAGGGAGGGGCTCATGGGGGGATACAAAATGAATAAAGTGTAATTAATAAAAAAAATAAAAGATTAAAAAAAAAAAAGAAGTCAGATAGGTTCCAGTGTGGAGCTGTGTGGTTTGATAAAGTAAATCCTATTTTACTTATTCTGATAATTCTCTAAGAAGGAAAGAGCTAGTTAACTTTGAGATAAAAATACCTTTGTATGAGTTCCTTTTGTCCTTACGAAAGTTTAGCTATAAAATCACAACGTAAACTTGGTAAAAAGAAAATGTTAAATGATACAAGTGCCCAGAATTCATAGAAAATAGTTATTGATTGCTGGCTCTGTTTGATTATTTTCCCTGATCCATGCTTTAATTACCATAAATCAAGAATTTATTTGTTGGGGTTTTGTTTGTTTGTTCATTTCATCTCTTTAAGATAGGGTCTTTTTGTGTTGCCCTGTCTGTCCCAAACCTAGTTCTGTGGACCAGGCCAGCCTCAAAGTCACAGAGATTGGCTTGCTTCTGCACATGCTATCATCGCCTGTTTTATTTGTTTTTCTAATAAAATCTAGTCTCATTTCTGTGTTTGAAAGCACATTTACTTCCTTACCCATTTTAAAATAACATATATGAAGATGGAAAATAACCATGACAGCATTTAGGCTTAGCAAATAGGATTGTGTGCTCAGTTTCTACCAATAAATTATACAAGTTTAGAAGTACTATTACAATTGAAATTAAATGTTATATATTCAGTCCTGAAAGCATATAATATGTGAAATCAGAAACATTGTTTCACACTGAAAATAAAGATACTATTAAAGTACTGTTACATAAATCTATAGTTCAGAGGTACACTAAACATATAGAAATTATGACTATATGAAGAGTATTTGTGTATAATTGTTGAAGGGGGCTTTATATATCCATTTACAAATACTTTTGTTTTTAACAAGATGTTTTCTGTTTAACAGGGATGAACAGATATCATTTCATTTCATTGGATATAGTAATATCAATATTTAAAGTTGAATTCTCTTACATTAAAATTATGATTTGATATTTTTAATCAGTAGATTCTATGGACAGTAAGTCAGCATGAGAAACCACTCTGTGGTCACTGAGTTTGTGCTCTTGGGCATATCAGACACACCAGAACTTCAGGTTGTGATTTTTATCTTTTTATTCATAGCTTACGTATTAAGTGTGTGTGGAAACCTAACTATCATCATCCTCACCTTGCTAGACTCTCAGTTAAAGACTCCTATGTACTTTTTCCTCCAGAATTTCTCCTTTCTAGAAATTATGTTCACCAGTGTTTCCATCCCGAGGTTTTTGGGGTCAATAATTACTCAAGTCAAGACCATTTCCTACAACAACTGTTTGGCTCAGCTATTTTTCTTCATCTCCATGGGAGTGTCTGAGTTCTTTCTTCTAACTGCCATGTCCTATGACCGCTATGTCGCCATCTGCAAGCCGCTGCACTACACTGTCATCATGAGCCAGAAAGTTTGCACCCTTCTTGTCCTCACCTCATGGCTGGCAGGATTTCTGACCATTTTCCCATTACTCATGCTATTCCTCAAGTTAGATTTCTGTGCTTCGAATGTCATTGATCACTTCTGCTGTGACTACTTCCCTATTTTACAACTTTCCTGCTCAGATACATGGTTTTTAGAGACAATTGGCTTTTATTTTGCCTCCATCACCCTGCTGTTCACACTGGCACTAGTGATCTTGTCATATATCTGTATCATCAGCACCATTCTCAGGTTCCCCTCTGCCAGTCAGAGGAAGAAGGCTTTCTCCACCTGTTCCTCTCACATGATTGTCATCTCCATCTCTTATGGCAGCTGCATTTTCATGTATCTCAAACCTTCTGCAAATGAAAGGGCATCCCTGACCAAGGGGGTGGCTGTTCTCAATACTTCAATTGCTCCCATGTTGAACCCTTTTATTTACACATTGAGAAATCAGCAAGTAAAACAAGCCTTCAAGGATTTCATTAATAAAGTGATTTCATTAATTTCATTAATAAAATTTTTAAGAAACAAATGAAAGTACTGGTTCATATGAATATTATTGTACCTCTTATAGAAAGGACGAATGACATTTTATTTTTATCATGAGCACCTTGGTTTTAGCTTTTAAAAAAAGTATTTTGTATGTTTGGGTGTTTTGCCTGTATGTATACCTGTGTACATTTCTGTGTATCTATTGAAAGCCTGGTACCCACAGAGGCCAGAAAATTGCATTGGCTCTCCTGATAGCAGCAGATGATTGTCGTAAGTTGATATTATCACTACTGAAGACATTTTGGATGCTATAAAATTATATGGAAATGGGAGGTAATTTATATCCATGTATCACGTATAAATATATAAAAGACAATGTAAGATTCTGATTTAAGCCTTGAGTCATTAGGTAATAGCTTAACTTAATTTTTTTGTTTTAAGATTTCAAACATGTTTACAATGAATTATACCTACCCCCAGTTTCTCCCTTCCAATTCACCCCTCCCAATTTCCTGCCCCCATATTTTGTTTGTTTGTCATAAGCCACTTAGTGATGCCCATATGTTCTTGGATGTGAGGCCACGTTCTGGAGCATGGGGACCCTACCAGTGTCCATATGCTCAGAAAACAATGAATCTCTCTTTCCACCAAGTACACATTGCCAATGGCTCCTCAGTAAGGGGTGGGTTCTGGAGATCACCTGCCTTCTCTGTGCTGGGATTTTGATTGACTTGATTTTGGATAGGTCTTGTGTAGGTCACCACAACTCCTGTGGCATCATGTGTGATAGACATGTCATGTCCAGAAGATGCTATTCAGAGCACTCTTTCCATCTTCTGGTTCTTATGCTCTTTCCACCTCCCTTTTCCTGATGGTACTTGAGCCTTGGTGGAGGGTGCCTAAAATAAACATCCTATTTCTGACTCCTGTACCCAGTCACTTTGCGCATTTTTTTGCAATTAGGCATCCCTCCACTTACTTCTGCTCACTGCAAAATAATCTCTTCTGACAAAGACCGAGAGCAACTCGGGTCTATGGGTACAAATGTAACATTTAGAACAGAGGTTCTCAATGTGTGTGTCACTACCCATTTGGGGATCAAATGATCCTTTCACAGGGGTCACTTTAAGACCATAGGGAGGCTGGTGATCCAAGATGGCATATGGACCATGCAGAGTATCTGAACAGCAGCTCAGCAGTGAGAGCTGGATGATGGGCAGGCCGAATTGTGGACCCTCAAACCCTGACATCTGTGTTTCTCAGGTGAGAGGAGAATCCATGGGGATACTTGAAGGTCCATCTTCAAGCCAGTTGGCTAATACTGGGAAAAATTTCTGGTCTCCTGCCCGGCACTGCTGCAACCCTAGGCCACCTGCCAAGCCCACTGTCTGTGGACACCTTCCTAAGATCATTGGAAAACACAGAAATTTACATTATGATTCATAACAGTTGCAAAATTTCAATTATGTAGTAGTAACAAAAAGAATTTCATGGTTGGGGTCACCACAACATGAGCCACTGTATTAAGTGGTTGTAGCATTAGGAAGGTTGAAAAAACAGTGATTTAGAAGGTATTTGATAGCATGACCGAGTAAAACAACTTGGACCTACGACCTTCCTGTCCATGGGCTTTACACACAGGACATCAACAAAATGTAGAATCCTGCCCCGGGAAGCAGGCCTCAGATCCATTCAGAAAGTGATTACTCTTCCTGAACAGTCTTGCCTTTATCGCACCACTGAACCCCTTTTGTCTAGGAGGACGGCAGCAGCACCAAGTGTCTAGTACTGGGTAAGGTCACTGCTGTCTTCGCTCTCCAGAAGCCTGTATGGAATATTTCAGAACTATGAAAACGTGTCGTAAAGAGAACGTTCCCTGGGTGTCCTGAGATGGCTTTCTCTGCTTTCCACTGTCAAGGCGTGCAACACCTTCAGGACTGGAGTTCTTACCATGTGTTACGTTGGGTAACCAAGGGCAACGGCAACAGCCCGCTTAGCTCTGCAGACCTTGGAGCTCACCTTTGTCAATAAATCACAGGAGGAGATTGGATACCTTGTAGTGCATTTTTTATTTAACCAGCAATGTCTTCTGCGAGTCCACCCATGACATAATTTGAATTCTTATTTTTAAAGTTATATTTTACAGTTTGCAGCTCAACTTTAGTCATAGTAAGGAAATCACATCAGACTGTATTGTGAAATGATATATTACAGATACAATAATTATATAAATTTTAATATTTGAAAAAACTTTTACCGTTATTTGGTTGTTCACTTTACATTCCAATCGTAGTTCCCATCCTCCTCTCCTTCTGGTCCCACTCTTCCTCTCTTGTTCCCCCTTCCCATTCCCTTACTCCTCAGTAAAGTTCCCCCAACTCTGCTCACCCACCTCACCACTTCAAGTCTCATCAGGACTGAGCACATCCTCTTCCACAGAGGCCTGGCAAGCCAGTCCCATCAGGAGGAAGTGATGAAAAAGCACACAACAGAGTCTATGTCAGATAGAGCCCCCATTTCCCTTCCCAGGGGGGACCCAAAGAAGACAAGATAAGGTGTCTATGCATGGTATTTGGTTGGTGCTTCAGTCTCTGCACGACCCCCTGGGCCCAGGTTAATAGTCTCTGTTGGTCTTCTTGTGAAGCTCCTGTACACTCTGGGTCCTTCTATCCTTCCCCAACTTCCCCAAGGCTTCCTGAACTTTGCCCAATCTTTCACTATGAGTCTTAACATCTATTTTGATCCTTTGAGGATGGAGCTTCTATGCACATGGATTGGTAGGATTATCATAGTAAAAATGGACATCTTACTGAAAGCACTCTATAGATTCAATGCAGTTCCCAACAAAATACCAACACAATTCTTTACAGACATTGAAAGAACAATTATCAACTTCATTTGGTATATTTTGTTTTAGTATATAAAAACTAATTTCCTGCTGATTAAACGGTAGAATTACTCTGTGCTTGTGTTTAATTCAAATACTGGCTATGAAGGAGTTAAAAAAATAGATAATATACTTCTTCATAGGGGATCTGATATTATATTTGACATTTGCTAGATATATGAATTATTGCATATTATACAATCTCTCTGAACCATAATGCTTTATTTGTGAATTATAATAAAAATTTTGTAAGTCCAAATGACTTTAAAGATTAATTTATGGCGATTAGAATAAATAACATCTTTTATAATTTACAACAACTGGAAACATTCTTCCCCAGGTTAAGAATTAATTTTAGTTGAAAGAAAAATGACAAAATTACTACAGCTAATTTTTGGAGCCTATATGCAACACTTTAAATAATATAACATTATAAATAATAACAATTATTTATAATCTCACCAAATTTTCAGAAAAAATCTATTGAAATTATTATTCCCTTAAAAAAGAATTGAATAGTAAGGGATACAGGGGCTGTCTCTGACATGAGCTCAGTGGCAGGCTCTCTGATCACCTCTCCTTAGGCGGGGGGCAGCCTTGCCAGGCCACAGAGGAAGATGATGCACCCAGCCTTGATGAGACCTGATAAGCTAAGGTCAGATAGAAGGGGAGGAGGTCTTCCCCTATCAGGGGACTAAGGAAAGGGCATAGGGGGAGAAAGGGAGGGTGGATGTGACTGGGAGGAGATGAGGGAGAGGACTACAGAGGGGATACAAAGTGAATAAATTGTAATAAACAAATATATAAATAAGATTAAATTAAAAAGAAAATAAAACAAATTCTGCCTCAAAATTAAACAACAAAAGAATTGAAGATTAAGGAAATTAAGGACATTTAATACCAGAAATCTTGAAATGTCTATTAGTGCTTTTATTTTCTGTCTCCCTAATGCAAACCTCATATATTTATTTTACTAATATTTTAATGACAATAGATTTTTTCTTTTCAATATGTTCTGATCATAGTTTCCACTTTTTCATCTCTGTTCAGATCCTCCTCACCTTCCCACCTATATAACTTCAGGCATTCTTTCTGTCTCTGTTTAGAAAACAAAGAAGTAATCAAATAACTAACAAACAAACCAGAATAGAACAAAATAAACAAAAAGGAAATAAAACAAATAAATAGCCCAAGAAACACATACACACGGACACAGACACAGACACAGACATACACACACACACACCACTAACCACATAAAATTGGAAACCATATTTAAATAAAATAGCAGTGATGTAAAAATAAAACTTCCACACAAGGTCTTAAGAGAGAAAATATCTCCAAAAATAACATTGAGTTCATTTCGTGTTGGCCATTTACTGCAGGGCATGGATCTTGCCTTTTTTGTAGTTTGTATATCCAATGAGACACCATTGAAGCAGATTAGTTTTTCTTTGTGAGTGGTTGTCAAGGAGAGATAGCCCCCTTTAAGGGATGGGAGATCATTTCCACTTTTCTTCTCAGCGCTGGGACCCAACTGGCTTAGCTGTGCGCAGGTTTGTGCATGCTGCCCCGTCTCTGGGAGTTTATACCTGTCAGTTCTGTTGGGTTGGAAGGCATTGTTTCCTGTGTGTCTTCCATCCTCACTGCTCTTGTAATCTTCCTACCCCTCTTCTGCAGGGTTCCCTGAGCACCAAGGGGAGAGGTTTGATGTAGACATCCCATTTAGGATTGAGTGTTCCAAGGTCTCCACTCTCTGGCCATTGTCCAGTTGTGAGTCTCTGCATTTGTTCTCTTGTACTGTAGGAGGAAGCTTCCTGGTGATGGCTGAGCAAGACTGGGTGATGGTCTGCAGGTATAGCAAAATGTTGTTAGGAGTCATTACATTGCTATTGTCTAGCAGGAAAATAATATTTGGCTTTTTTTCTAGGTCCATCTAGTCTTGGATTTGGTGACCTGAGCAATGTGAATCATGGGTTCCATCTTGTAGCACTGGGCTGAAATCCCGTCGGATAGCGGGTGAGGAAGCCCACAGCATTGCGCCACTGTTGCCCCCGTGTAACCCAGAGGCAGGTGAAGGGCTAGAGCCTGCTTAGTGTTGACCTTTGACCTTTGTTCTCAGTCCCTGCACACTAGTCCACGGAGGCAGGGTGAAG